TGCTGAACACTGTGAATTATGATCATATAAAACTACATATAGACCTGGATTAGAAGAAGAACCATCAATGTCTAACTCTATTGGATCTGAACTTGGTGAATCAACAACAACATCTTCACTGACTGCATAGTGTTAAAAGCCAGAACAGAGTATCAGTTTAGAAATTTGTGGATGTATAGTATTATAATTCTGGATGTATAGTGATAGAATTCTGGATATAAAGCTCACAGTTTCTGGACATAAAAGTTCAATAATTATGGATATACAATCCAGAACAAAGTATCCATTCACAAAATCCTTGATATATACTACTATAATTCTGGATATATAGCTCACAACTTCTGGTTTTATAGTTCAAAGATTATGGATATATATTTCGTTCATTCAGAAAACCATAAACACATAAACACCAAGAGTTACGAATGATCTCAGACTAGAATCACATAAACATCACATACACAATAAACATCACACTAAATATAAACACCTACACAATATATCACACTGCAAAAATCGCAAACGACCACAAATCCATAAAAATCAAACTGCAAAATAACCTGGAACCGTATGCAATTCATCGCCTGCTTCATCTCTCTGATCTAATGCCTCGTCTCTTTGGTCTACTGCATCATCCATCATGAGATCCATACAATAAATCAGGAAAACGATTGCGATCGCTATTGCGATTGCGATTTTACGTATACTGCAATCAAAACGCCAAACTACCAAAAAATCGCAAAACTACCAAATATGATATGAATAACGCCGCTAACGGCCATCCAATTTTTTTTTTTTTATTTTGTGCGCGCCGTGTCGTTTTTTTAGTAAAACGGCGCCGTTTTGCAACCGTATGCACCTTACTAGGTGCATTCGGTTGCACGGCATAATTTGCGATAAGACACTGTTATATCGTGGACCGCAATGCATAATCGATTATGTACCGCGTATTAAAAAGGCACTGTTTTTTTAGGTAAAGAAACGGCACGCTGTTAGGGTCCGTTTGGAAAGCAGAATATGACTTTTGGAAAATGTTTTCTGAAAAATGAGTCATTTTCTGAAAAATATTTTCTTTTCCCGTGTTTGGTTGCATTCTGAAAAACTGGATTAGTGTGTTTGGTTCATTTTTTAAAAAATGAGTAGAATTGTATAAATTAATATTTTAATTATTTTATTTAGAATATAAAAATATTTATAATAATAATACTAAAATAATTTTTAATATAATCATATAATATTAAAATAAGTACATTTAAAAAAAAAAAAAGAGGTCTTCATTGGTTTTCGGCGGAAACCAAGATTTGGTTTCCGCCGGAAACCATGTCATGGTTTCCGATAGGGAAACCATGTCTGGTTTCCGGGCCGGACACCATGGAATGGTTTTCGATACGGAAATCATGTCTGGTTTCCGCGCGGAAACCAGATGGGCATTTTATTATAAAAATAAAAAAAAAATACCTTTGGTTTTCGGCGGAAACCAGATTCCCGCCGGAAACCAAAGCTTAAAGGAAACCAGTGCTCACTGGTTTCCAAAAGGACGATAGAAACCAGTGAGTACTGGTTTCTGAAGCCAACAGATGAAGAAGAAACTAGCGCGAAAGTGGAGAAAGTGAAAAGTCAACATCTGGAAAATGACTTCCCCTTTAAAAAATGGGAAGTTGTTTTTCAGAAAAACAAGCTCATTTTCTATTGACCAATGCCTCATTTTCCGTTGACTTAAATTTTCCTTCTTTCCAAATAGTGAAAATCCGGTTTCCGGGTTTCCAAACACACCCTTAGTGTTAACGGAGTGACATTACAGTGTATCTAAACTGACATTGCCTCACGTATTATTTTTATATTATCAAATGAAACTGCAGTATATCAAAATGATATTGTAGTTGTGGTGAAATGAAACTACAATATATATAAAATGAAACTGAATAACATTTCACATATTTGAGTGTATATTGTACAATGAAGCTGTAATTATATCGAAATGATCATGTAGTTGTGTTTTAATGAAACTATAGTGTATATAAAATAACATTTTCACATATTTGAGTGTATAAATATTGAATGAAACTGTAGTTATATCAAAATGAAACTATAATTGTGTTGAACTGAAACTGCAGTGTATACAAAATGAAACTGAAGAACATAGATATTTTTTGTGGAACGACGCGAAACGAATTCCGTTTCTTTTCATTAAATAAAACGACGTCGTTTTGATGTCGGTGCATAATCGATTATGCACCGCGGTGCACAATATAATTTGCCATAAGAGCATCCCATCAATGGAGCATGGTGTGATTTTTGAGAAAAATATGAGTGTTGTGGAGGAGAGAAGGTGAAGAGAAAGAATGAACAAGGTGTTTGCAGGGGGAGAGATTTTTAGACTGACAAGTAGGGCCTGCGTGGGGGAGAGAAGCGTGTCCTGAACACGCGTCAGGCGCACCTTGCGCGTACTGCACTTTCCTTGGGCGCGTAACAGCCTCTCAGTATTTTTTCAAATATTTTTTTCTTTTTTCTTCCTCCTTATCTTCTCTTTTCTAATCACACCTGTAAAACTCCTCAAAAATTTAAACGGTTGGAGATGCTCTAACAAAATAGTATAGCTTCTTTGGCATGATTTAGTTAACAAAAAAAAAAAAAAAAGTTTCATATTTTTTTCTCTATCAAGTTTCCATGTATAAATTGTGTTCTTTTCATTTTATTTAAGCTATATCACTTATTATTAAAACAAAGTGCTAATCATAAATACCTTTGTGTCTAAAACCAAGGAAAATACATTATTTAAAACCAAAGCATTATTCACTCGTTATATCATGGACTATGATTCACATATAAGCTAAGTTAGTATACTGTAAGTTTATTTTTACTATACTATATATTCATGTTTAATAGGTTTATTATATTTTAAATACAATATCATTGTTAGTGCATTGCAAGTTTACTTTTAGTGTACTATTTAAAAATAAATTTAAAATACACTAAAAATGAACAAGAATCATTAGTCTAGGATAATACACTAAAAATGAACAAGAATCATTAGTCTAGGATAACTTATAATGTAGACCATTGTCTATAATATATAAGAGTGAAATTGATTAAATTTCTTAGTAATATTGTTACTTTCTTAGTAAACGTTTAAAAGTTAAAAGTATATTAAAAAAAAAGGCTTGTTGATGTCCATACTGATTGAGAAAGTTTGAATGTTTTTTTTTTCTTTTTTTCTTTTTTGTTTATCGTCAATTTTTCATTTTAAAAAAATAAAAAATTTCTTGAAACATATACCCCTTTTCCCTCAAAATAAATAAACAAATGGAAGGTATATGAGCACTTACATATGGAGTTAGGCCAAATCCATGTGGTAGAAAATAAAGACTAAGGAGCTCAAAGGATATATTGGTTTTTTTTGTTTTTTTTTTTTTTTGGGGGGGGGGGGGGGGGTGCTAAAATGAAAATTTAATAATTCGAAATAAAATTTGGGTGTTAAGACTAAGGAGCTCAAAGGATATATTGGTTTTTTTTTTTGGGGGGGGGGGGGGGGTGCTAAAATGAAAATTTAATAATTCGAAATAAAATTTGGGTGTTAGGCACATTGAAGTATTGATTTGAACACTCAAATATAATTATTAGAGAATATGTTTTGAACTCATTTTGAGATTTAACCCCAACACATAAGAGAGAATTTCTATATTACAGAGTTCAAAACATGAGTTATAACCAAGTTCCGACTTAGTCTCTAAGTTATGGTCATTTCCGAGTTTAGTCCCTCAGTTATGAAAAAAGTGGCGAGTTTGGTCCTTAGCGTTAATATTCTGCCTACCGCTAACGGAAAACTTAAAACAATTTAATAATAGAGGGGTAAAATAGAAATTTCAAATTATAATCTTCTTTTTATGTTGAAACTCGTTGGGCAACAGTCATTCTTTTCTTCTTATACCTACAATTGAAGGTTTTTTTCTTCCCCAAGCTCTGAAATCGCCCACTTCCGTTAGATATATGAAGAAAATAATGACGGTTGCGCAATGAATTTCAACATAAGAAGGGAATTATAATGTGAAATTCATATTTTAACCCTCTTTTATTAAATTGTTTTTAAGTTTCCCGTTAGCTGCAAACAGAATATTAACGCTAGGGATCAAACTCGCCACTTTGCTCATAACTAAGGGACAAAACTCGGATACTGTCATAACTTAGGGACTGAGTCGGAACTTAGTTATAACTCTGGGACTAAAGATGCAATTTTCCAATTATATTTATACTAGTACAAAACGACATGCTTGGATATAGGCTACTTAAAAGCTTTTCTGATCTAAACTTCATTTTTCCAACTCAATGAGTATACCTTTAGAATCAATTTTTCATTCTTGTATTATCCATTTTAAGCATATAATATATCAAGTTAATCCTCCCAACTAGAAGAATCAGAATCCACTTTAACCTTACCTAAACTAAAAGTGGACCACACTCATATCAATACCTCAAAATAGTCACTTAAAATGTCAATTTATGCTAACTTATCATCGTGTTTGAGAGAACAGTTGGAACGATCTATTACTTTAATTATTATTGCTTGAACTTCTTTTTTTTCATGTGAAGAAAGAAATCCCGCCTAGGTAAATTTCGCCTTTTGACCCTACCTAACAAAGGATTACAAAGAAGTAAATTAACTCAAATTATTCATAACTAACTAGCTTAAATAAAAAAGATCAATAAGCCGTTAAACTTGCTGTTATTTTAATCGCATTGTTAATATAATATACCCAAGGGTTGTACTAAAGTTTGGCCATTGATATGAACCAAATTGTGCAATACTTGGGAGTGCTTGAAGCCCTAAAATGATTTGGTGAATTTGGACTCTGAATTTTGATGGCCTCCAACTCATGGTTGGCCATTTGACACAATCACCTCCATCTAACTTTTCAAACTATTTGCAGCTTCATCTCCACTGCAAATGGCAGATCAGATCCAAGAATGTGAGACTTTTCAAGGCAGATGGAGCCTATATATCATCACAGAGAGGTGAACTCCTTTGCATCATTATTGCTTAATTAAACTCCATTCTTGGCTTCTTCTTCTTTGCTTAGCTTGCTTAAAGATGGCAAAAATGGAGGCATTTGCTGCAATCTTTGTTCTCTTCTTTCTGACTAGTTTTGTGATGATGAAAGGTGAAGTTGCCTATCATAAGGTTGACCATGTCACGTGCAGTAATCGTGGAAGTAAATGCTTTCTCAAGTACTTAACTTGCCCATATCAGTGCCCACAAACTCACCCCAAAGATCCCACTGCTCAAGCCTGCTTTCTTGATTGTTACTCCCCTAAATGTGAAGCTGTCTGCAAAAGTATGTCTAAGATTTTACTCTCTTTTCTATATTTTTTTTTTTTTTCAAAAAGTTCGATTACAGTTTGTCATGTTGATTTGGTAACCATGCATGAGGTTGCAAGTTCAACTTCTGGGGAGTAATTTATTGGTCTTCTTGATTTGAGTCGATCAATTATTGACAATCTAGGTTGGTTTATCTCCTTATAGTTCTTTGTCGGTTAGGTCACAAGGCGGGTTTACCCAATACACAGACAGATTTACTCAATACACACTCTTAAATAGTGATTGCAGATTTTCCTCACAACTCACAAAAAAAAAAAATGTAAATACCTAACATATACTCGATGCCTCGATGCATATTCCGTATTTAATTGCCAATCACTTTATTAAGTGACAAATTAGTGATGAAAATAGTTTGAATGATTAAAATCATCACTTGTATAATTTAGGGGTTAAAGATGGTCAAAGATATAATTTAATACTAAGTTTGTAAGAGCATCCACATTAGTTGGGAAGAATATGGGGATAATGTAAGAGTGATTAGGAGAGAGAATGTGGGGAAGGGAGGAAAAAAAAAAAAAAAACCAAAATAAAAAAACAAACGAAAAAAAAAAAAAAAAAAAAAAAAAACGAACTGTCAGGCGCGCCTGACGCGCCCGTGTGGGCGGGCTGCTGTGCGCGTTCTTTTCTTTCTTTTTTTATTTTTCTGCCATTCTCCCCATATTTGCAGGATGATTATTTCCACAAATAACTTCATCCTACATTTGTTATTATCCCCTTTGAGAAGAATTAATTCTGAAATCTCCCCATAATATGCATAAGTGTGGATGCTCTAATACAGATATAACTACTGAATGACTAAAAATACAATTTTTCCAAAGAGTATTATGTATAATCAGTTTTTGTACCATATATATCTGTATCGGCAGGTAGAAAACCAAACTGCGACGGTCCCGGAGCAGCCTGTTACGACCCACGGTTCGTCGGCGGCGACGGCATTGTTTTCTACTTTCACGGCAAGAAAAACGAGCACTTCACCTTAATATCAGACACCAATCTTCAAATCAACGCCCGTTTCATCGGCCTTCGTCCCCTCAACAGAACTCGAGATTTCACATGGATCCAAGGTTTAGGCATAATGTTCGGCTCCCACAACTTCACCATCGCCGCCGCCGCCGCGGAGAACTGGGACGACCAAACCGACCACCTAGAATTCCGCTACGACGGCGAGCCCGCCGTGATCCCGCAAGGCCAATCCTCCGAGTGGACTTCCCCCGACGGAAGCCTGAAACTGGAGAGGACGTTTCCGAGGAACAGCGCGACGGTCACCGTCTCCGACATCGCCGAGGTATCGGCTAACGTTGTTCCGGTGACGGAACAGGAAAACGCGATTCACGGCTACGGGATACCGGCTAACGACAGCTTTGCGCACTTGGAAGTGCAGTTCAGATTCTTCAGTTTGTCGCCTAAGGTTGACGGGATTCTCGGCCGGACTTACCGGCCGGATTTCCAGAATCCGGCGAAGCCTGGAGTCGAAATGCCGGTCGTCGGCGGCGAAGATAAGTTCAGGACTAGTTCGCTTCTCGCGGCGGACTGCAATTCTTGTTTTTTCGCTCCCGGAAATGTGACCGCCGACGTAGAGAGGGAATACTACGGGACGGTTGACTGCGCCACCGGAGGGACCGACGGCGGATATGGAATTATGTGTAAGAAGTGATCATCGTATAGTATTTTCTTCCTTGTTAAAATAAAGTGAAGATTATGTAACCAAATGATAATTAGTTGGGTACTTAATCTTTTGTTTAAGAATCCTAGCTTTACAGTGTACTGTGGATCCAGGTGCATATGTATATGTTTTGTGTGGTAAGTTTTTATGTCTTGTGTTATGAAATTCTGTACTTTCTGTACCTAAAATAAATTAATAATTGTATCTTATGTTATGCATTGTGTCTTGTATTGTGAAATTTTGTGTCTATAAACATAAATTGTGTATTTAAATTATATCATATTTGAAAAATAAATAAATATATAACATGTTAATTTGTTTGTGTTATGAAATTCTATATTTTACAAATATGAATTCTACATTATTATTTTGATCAGGATTGTTATGTTAACCCTGTCCATGATATAAATTGCCTTTGTTTAATATGACTATATTTCTATCTAAATCAATTGCCGTATAATACAATCGTTATGCTGTGCATCCGTATGCACCTTGTATAGTGCATACGGATGCCAAAACGAATTCGTTTTATTAAAAAACGTGCGTCTCCCTTTTACAAGAAATTCAAGTTCGATTCCCAGCAACAACATTATATTGTTCATTCATTCTGAAATTTTAGTTCATAGATTATGGAATTATAGTTCATTGATTATGGAATTATAGTTCATCGATTATGGATTTGTAGTTCATCGATTCTGAAATTTTAGTTTATAGATTATGGAATTTTAGTTCATTCATTCTGGAATTTTTGGTTCATAGATTAGATTATGGAATTATAGTTCATCGATTATGGAATTATAGTTCATCGATTATGGAATTTTAGTTCATATGTTGTTGCTGGAAATCGAACCTGATTTTCTTTTTTTTAGGGGAGATGCGCGTTTTATTAAAACGACGTCGTTTTTGAATCCGTATGCACCATGCATGGTGCATACGGATGCACAGCATAATTTGCCCATATAATACAAGTGTTGGGATTATGGGTTGTTTGGCCCAACCCAATTTTATGCATTGGCCCAATCACTATCCACCAACATGAATCTCATGGGCAAATTATATCGTGCACGTGGTGCATAATTGATCATGCATCGAGCTTCAAAACATTATCGTTTTGTTTAATGAAAAGAAACAACATCTGTTTCGCACCGTTTCGCACTCTTCAGTCAAAAATAACTCTATTATTCAGTTTCATTTTGTATACATTACAGTTTCAATTTAACACAATTACAATTTCATTTTAATATGATTACAATTTCATTTGATATTTATAAACTCAAATATGTGAAAATGTTATTTAATTTTATTTTATATAACCAACGAATCTCATGTCTCAACTCTCAAATCAACGCAGGCACGCAGCTTATATCGTAGATTAAGGTTTCTATAGCAAGGTGGACCATTTAATGTGCTACATATTTATTTTGATTTTAAAAAACATTAAAAATAATCTGCAATACATTAAAATGGATCTGTATAATATATATATATATATATATATATATATATATATATATATATAAATCAACTAAAAATAATATATAAACATATATTACACTCAAAATGAATATCCAATATATTAAGTATAAACTTGAGTCTATTTTACAATATGGACCTTGAGGTGCACGATATAATTTGTCTCGAATTAAATAGTTCAAAAAATCAACTACTAAGAATCCATTATCTCTGTTAAGTTTATTGGATAAACTCCGAATTGTAATCCTAGCTTGCAAAGAATCACAATAAAGTAAACAAACTAATCAGGAAAATTGGTATTCAAACTCGTGACTTTGTAATTATATATCTGTATTCTTAGCCATTTTAACTATGGGATGATAGTTGATAAGTAGAGAAATTATTTTGAATATTATGTTTTTATTTAAATAAATTATTTTGAGTCAATCAATAAATAAAAATAAGTTTTAAAAGGGGTAATCAAGTATTAAAGTGATTGGAGTATGATTCGGCAATTTATATCCTACACCACGGCGCGCGTTGCACTATGCGCCCAGATGCAAAACGACGTCGTTTTAATTTTTTTTTTTTTGAAATTTTCCCGCCCCAGTGAATGGCAGTAGTTTTTTCTTTAAAAAAAAACCCGCTGTTCAAGAATGTACATAATGTTATACTAGAATACACATAATGTTATACATGAATGTACATAATTATATAACAAAATATACATACTCTTTTTAAAAGATAATACACATAATCTAACATAATACATAATAAACATAAACTTTTAACATAATACACATCAACTCTTAACATAATACACACAAATTTTCTGATTCGGATGTACATAATTGTATAAAAAGAATGTACATAATTGTATAAAAAATACACATAACTGTATGAACCAATACACATAACGTTGTGAATAAATACACATAATCTCAGCAACTTCCTACCGCGCCTCCCAACACTACCTCAAAACGACGTCGTTTTGGGAGGCGCGCGGCGCACAGTGTTATGTGCACCGTGGTGTAGGATATAACGATTGGTATGATTCGCGATCAAAAGATCACCACTTTAATTTTTATGAACACTTTATAAATAAAATTTATAGTCTTTTTAAAATGCAATTTATTTGATGTCCATGTAAAATATAAAAATATACTCCTTATATGATCATGTACGTATAAATATTAAAATAGCATTCGTTGGCTTTCGTGAATGCTCAGAGAACGAACGACAAATGGCTCAATCTCACTTCTTCAAAGTTCAAATTGATAAACTTTTATATGATACATTTCAATAATTGAGCATCACTTAGACCTTACTCAATTCACAACGTACATAATCCACTGTACCAATTTATCAACTTATATACTCACGCTAGGGTTCCACCCAGCTTTGAATTAAGGTTCCATTTCAGAAATTCTTCAATTCGAGCAGGTAATTTGAGTATATATCCATGCATTTGTATGTATATACTGCTAGTAAGCTGTATAGACACAATCGTGCCGTTATTTCACTTGGTTTTGGGTGTTTGTAGGGGCCAAGTGGTAGCAGAGATGGAAGGGGTTAAGGTGTGGTGGATCATCAGTGCTGCTGTTCTTCTACTGATGGTTCCAAGAATTAATTCTTGGGGGAAAGAAGGACATTTTGCTATCTGCAAAATTGCCCAGGTTTGGTAACAGTCATGTGTGCCATTTTTCTCTAAAAAGTATTGCTGTTTAGCTTGTGGATTTACTTGTATTTGTGATTGTTCATTGTTGTAAAATTTGTAGTTTACTTATGTCGATTTTGCTTTGCAGTTGATCTGATTGAGTTTTAGTTTAGGTTTGCTAAGATGGCAAAATGAGTTCCATGTGGCAAATATTTATTGTCAATTACTTAAGAAATAGAGCACTAGCCATTTCACTTTGGCAGCTGGATAAATAAAGTTTAACTATATCATTTCCCATTTTCCTCTCTTTTTTGAGTGATGAGGGAAAATGCAGTCACTACCTGAGGATGTGTATTGGGTCAGAAGGCGGGGTTTACCCCTTACTTTTGGGGTGGCGAGGGAAATACGCAGTCACTACCCGAGGGTGTGCACTGGGTTATGACCCTAGCCGGCAAAGGACCACAATGAGATAAACCAGCCTAGGTTGCACATAGCTGACCGACTGAAATCAAGAGGGCTGGGATTCTAACTCGTGACCTTGTGGTTACAAGTTTGTATCCTCAGCCATCATGGCTGGGGTGGGTTACCCCTTACCCCTCTCTTTTCCTTTTACAGGAAGTGGGGAGGAGAGATGGGACGTTTTTCTTGCTTATTAAGAGTTGCCTGTTTATTGAAAAGATGAAAGATCACCTTAGTAGCACTCCATCTAGAATACTAATATGAAGTTCTTTTCATTTAGTTATTTATCTATTTCAGGAATATCTAACTGAGGAGGCTCTGAAAGCAGTCCAAGACTTGCTCCCTGCTGAAGCTGAAGGTGATCTTGCTAATGTTTGTGACTGGGCAGATCAAGTTCGGTACCGTGCTCACTATGGTTGGAGCAGAACTTTACATTATGTAGATACACCTGATTTTTTGTGCAACTACAATTATACCAGTAAGTGATGTTGCTACACCTCATGCATATTGGTACTACTTTTTGTGTAAAGTGCTGTCCCTTTTTTTGTCCTGATTTGCTACCATAAATAAAGATATAACAGTTGAGGCACAAAAGTTAGCTATCTCTTGTATGTTTGTTCTGCACTCTCATTTTTTAAGCACCTGGTAGACTACACATTAAAGCAGTCATTTTTCCTTGATTTTAAATGGAAAAACAGATGTTGGACCACTTACTTTTTATTATAGCACTCGTAACAGATTATCTTTGTAAATCCTGAAAGGGGACTGCCATGACACCAAAGGGCGTAAGGACAAGTGTGTTACTGCAGCAATTTACAACTACACAGAGCAGCTATTGGGTTACTATAATTCAAACTCAGAAACAAACTGTAAGAATCAGTTGTTATCATAGTCGAATTATGAAGATTTTGGACTTACTATTTTTCTTGTTGTAGACAACTTGACAGAAGCACTCATGTTCTTATCACATTTTGTTGGTGATGTCCATCAGGTTTGTTTATATTTCTCAGCAACCAAGGAAGACTTGCAATAGTGACATCTGGCTGATTGATTCTTAAATTCATATAGTACTAGATATATGATGACTCTTTTATAATATAACTCAAAAGGCGCATAGCTAGAATCAAACCGCCAGTTTTGCTTGGCTCACCTACCTTGTTATTGTAGTTATTAGCATGGTTGCAGTAGGCGTTAAGCGCTAGTCGGGCGGTAGACTAGCGCCTAGACGGCCTAGGCGGCTAACTAAAAGAAAAGAAAGCAATGTACGTGTGTGGGTGTATATATGTCATATTATATATATATTGAAAAAAAATTAGCAAGGTCGAGTCGACCGGGTTAACTCGGTCCAGTTAGGCGTTAAGCGGCTGCCTAGGCGGCCTAATCGGCCGAGTTAGGTGCTAGGCGGGCGCCTAGGGTGGAAATTGCCACGGTCTAGGGCGCCTAGCACCTAGGCAGTGCCCAGGCGGGCGTATAGACCGATTTTTGCAACAGTGGTTATTAGTCACTTGGTTGCACAACATAGTAGTGAGTGCATGATATCATGACAAGGAAGGTGTTTGGCTATATCTGATTGAAATCATTTTTCTTGCAGCCTCTGCATGTAGGTTTCATTGGAGATGAAGGTGGAAACACAATAACAGTCCGATGGTACCGGAGGAAGACTAATTTGCACCATGTAAGTTGTTACAAGCTTTCTAACATCGTCCATCAAGCTTCTAATTGTTATCGTTCTATTTGTGACTTCATAATTTTTATAAGGTGTGAAATATGATGATTTCAACCACATGCATTGCAAGTTTCACATTCATGTACCGTTACATAGATATGGCATCCATTTCAGATGCAATATAGGATCAAAGGGACATTATAAGTTATGACTTTCAGTTAGAGGATGCGATACAAAGTGTTGAATATGCATGTTGCAATAACTAATTATTAACTACTTATTTTGTTATAATATCTTGATATGCTTCTTGATTCAGGTGTGGGATACTAATATCATCGAAACTGCTGTAAAGACATTCTATGACTCTGATCTCACACTGATGATACAAGCTCTTCAAAATAATATCACGGTTTGTTTCTTATTTGTTGTGTGCAAATTTTTAGACAGATGAACTCTATATAATTGCTGGTAATGCATAAAGCCGTAAAGGATAAATTATACTGTCAGTATTTATTAGCAGTTTGCATAGCTTTTTGTTTGTTTATAGATAACTAAGGAGCTTGATATTTGTTTCTTTGATTTCATTCTAATTATTTTTCATGCACTCGTGATAGGATGAATGGCCCATTGATATTCCTTTGCAGGAAAACTGCAATAAGACTGTCTGTCCAGACCCGTAAGTGTATTTTTATTACATTTTAAATCCATGAATCTTGAATCTCATATGCATAGAGTAACTCCTTGGCTAAGTTGACATAAACTTGAGAGATTCAGGAATTAGTTTTTGAAATCTCAACGGTTTTCATATTCTGGAGCTGCAACACGCTTGTTGCTTCAATGTGTTATCTTATATGCACTGTCCTTTATGTTTTTCTTTTATGTATAAATGCATAATCACGATGTGAAGATTGGGCATGGGTTTATTACATTGAAGCCTAGAAAAAATATATTTGAGCACATAGTTAAGGCTGCATACATCTTCCACAAAACAGCGTGATACAACTCTTGTGCACTGAGTCCATCATTTTAAGTATATATATAATGGATATACATAATGTTAATGCTCCTTTGACAGGTATGCCTCAGAAAGTGTTAGTTTAGCCTGCAAATTTGCCTACAGAAACGCCACGCCTGGGAGCACTTTGAAAGGTGAATAATTATCTCTCTCTTTAAACTTGTGGCCTTATACCTGTTTTAAGAAACTAGTATGATACCCGTGCGATGCACGAGATGAATATTAGGCAACATTATAATAATACTATTTATTCAAAAATACACAACTTAACATAAACATAGATGCAATTCATATATTACAAAATAATTTAAATATAGTTAATATTAATTTTACAAAAAGACTAAACATTAATACTAAACTTTACAAATTGTTAAAAACTTCCGTGTACACAACATTTGTCGTTGAAGAAGAGTACTCTCCATTTTAGCCTAAAATAACAACTTTAAGACCCTTTTAGGGTTGATAACTCTAGACAGAGACACGTATAGTTGTCCATGTACTCTTCGTATTATAAGAGTAGATAACTTTTGTTCATCTGCCTGCATGTATCTCTATGTGCCGGGTTTCTTTTCTCACCAATCTTTCAATGTCTGGTTTTCAATAGATGAATACTTCCTCTCCCGGTTGCCAGTTGTCGAGAAGAGATTGGCTCAGAGTGGGGTCCGTTTGGCTGGAATTCTCAACTCCATTTTCACTCCAAGGCCATTAGTTGCACAACTATGAAGATAACAGCAGGGAAAGAATGGGAGAGGGATGGCATTGCTGCTATTAAAAAATGCAGTCATGGATTGGACTGCCAGTGTCAACTTTCCCAGGTTCAAATTCCCCTTGCCTAAATAACTACTCTGTTTAATATATGTTTAATTATGTACTTCTATAGGTGTACAGTGTACTATACAATAATACGATGACATTCTTATCGGAAATCATACCTAGAAAATGGGATTTAGCATTCTAAGTGTAGTTTGATGGTAAGTACTGATGGATTTAATTAACCCGGGGTGGACCCGAATCAATAAATCCGGATAAGAACATAATATAATAAATAATAAACGAAATATAGAACGATGTCGTAAAGGTCGCTAGGGACCATATATTGTATTAATTGCCGTTGGAATTGGCTATTACAGAAATCCGACAGGACAAAGTGTGTAATAAGTGTAGAATATATATTGAATCGCCCTTGTTAAGGACAGGGAGGGGGGTTTTTTATACAAGACAAACCCCCCAACCGCCTCCCCCTAAATCAGGGGTGGTTAGATCTCAAGTTTGACCGGGCCCGAGCGGACCGGGTCGGGTCCCGAGCTCGGGTAGGACCGAGCTCCCCAACCCGAGCTCCACGTAGGTCGGCTCGGGTCGGGCACCTCCATGGTGCTCCGGGTCCGCGTTGCTCTTGGGCACCTCCGTGGTGCCTCGGGTCCGTGTTGCTCTTGGGCTCTACCAAGGTGCTCCGGGTCCGTGTTGCTACCCCGGGTCGAGTCGTGGGTGTAATATATCCATCATGAGTCCCCCACTCTCTTCGTTGCAAGTGGAAGTCAACGAATAAGAGTATCCGTACGCCGACCCGAGCCCCCTGGGTGGAAAATTCCGAGCTCAAAATTTTAGCCGACCTCCTCCAAGAATTATATCGCGGATAGAATTCTTGCTCCGCGAAAAATCTCTTCAGATAAGTTAGAATCCCTACAAAGGTGCAACACTTCCCTATAAAAGTCTTGAAAATCTTTCATAATAAATCCAAACAACTTTTCATCTCCCATCCCCATCAATTCTCTCTCTTTCCAATCCCCTTTTTGAATTTCAAAAATTGGTCAACCCTTCTCCCCTCTCTCTCTTCCCAACAATCTATAAAAACCCCCCATTCCCTTCACATTTTCAGCCACCCCCCTCTCCATCACCAAAAAAATTCTCTCAATCTCTCTTCAAGTCACAAGTGCTCTCCCGGGGTTCCCAAGTCAAAATTTTCCTTCGTGGTCGGTTAGTTTCTCCTCCTTCCTCTTTCCTTTCAACCGTTTCGTTTAACCTTTTTTTTTTTTTTTTTTTTTTTTTTTGTTCTCGGCGCCGCCGTGCTCCGGCCAGGCTGCCGCGAGGACCGCCACCGGGTCTGAGCTGCTGCCGCGGGCTGCCCGCAGCCACCAGTGTAAGGTCCCCCCCCCCCCCCCCCCCCCCACGGTCCGGTCGACCTCCCTTGGGGTGCACGCACCTCCTCCTCTTTGGTCCACCCACCTTGTATGTTCACTAATTTTGGGTACACGTACCTCCCTCTTTTTGGTCCACCTTCCTTGCATGTTCACTAATTTCGGGTACACGTACCTCCATCTTTTTGGTCCACCTTCCTTACATGTCCCTAAGTTTTGATCTCAACGTGCTAGATTCCATTAGCGATAGTGAGGTTGATATGAGTGACCCCGATTCCGTTAATGAGTTTCCTTCCCCTGGCAACGAGGCTACCGACCTCCACGGACTCCCCGGGCTCGGCCACCCCCTCTGGATCGCCGTCCCCGAGCCCTCTGCCGACCCCGAGCCGGTAGAGTATACCTCCCTAGGGCAGGACATTCCACGCACCACCCTTGTCGACCTCTCACGCGGTAAGTTAGACAGGGCCGTGAGAGCTGCTGGGCCGGGTGTTGAGGTGGTGGAGCCCTCCCCCGGTGATAATGTTGCGGAGCCCCCGAGTCGTCATCACTTTGGCCTTCATGTCTTATCTCTTCTGGACGGGTTCCGTTTTCCTGTCCATCCTTTCACGGTGGACCTACTCAACTTCTACGAGATTGGTTCGGGTCAGTTGGTTCCGAACTCCCATTACGTGATCCTGGCCTTCCTCTTGAGGTGTCAGGAGATCAGGGTCAAGCCCTACCTCGATTTGTTCAATTTCCTCTTCCATGTCACCGTTTCTTCGGGACGAGTGAGTAAGGGTTGGGTGGCTTTCTCGGCTCGCCCTCACATGAAAATCATTCAGGACATCCAATCTTCAAATCATCAATGGAAACCCATGTTTGTTTATGTCTCCGTGGGTCCCGAGCTGTCTTTTGTGTTCTCGTGGAACAACCGCTTCCGTAAGCACGTGACCCCCTGGGAGAATGAGGGTCTGATGAGGGACGTGCATGCCTTCCGCCACACGGACCCTCGTATCTACATAGCGCCCATGTTGACCGAGGGGAACATGGTGCGTCTGGGCTTCACCCCGGGTACCTCGCTGCCACCCCCGCCTCCGGTCCGCCGTGATCATGCCTCCGACCCCGATCCAGGCCACGACGATGCCTCCGACCTCGGCCCCGACCCTATTTCGGTGGATACACCGTCCGGGGACGAGGATGATCTGCTCTACCTGGGCGGCATAGTATCTGCTCTACCTGTCAACAGCCGCACAAGTAAGGTTATACAAGGTGCATTTAAAATTAAATCAAATACGTACAAAGGAAGAAGATAAGCAGGGATTGACGAATATGGACCTCCCGGAACGACAATAGACAGTGCCAGCTCGCTCTCGGACAAAGACGCCGGCGAATCCGCATGAGAGGGCGCTGCAATAGCCGAATTGCGGAGGTCGGCCTCGGGCGTAGGGGCACGAAGAATCTCGAAGACGAGTTCCCCCGAGCTCTCTGAGTCCTCCTCGTCCCCGGACGGCGTATCCACCGAAATAGGGTCGGGGCCGAGGTCGGAGGCATCGTCGCGGCCTGGATCGAGGTCGGAGGCATGGTCACGGTGGACCGGAGGCGGGGACGGCAGCGAGGTACCCGGGGTGAAGCCCAGACGCACCATGTTCCCCTCGGTCAACATGGGCGCTATGTAGATACGAGGGCCTGGGTGACGGAAGGCATGCACGTCCCTCATCAGACCCTCATTCTCCCGGGGGGTCACGTGCTTGCGGAAGCGGGTGTTCCACGAGAACACAAAAGGCAGATCGGGACCCACGGAGACATAAACAAACATGGGTTTCCATTGATGATTTGAAGATTGGATGTCCTGAATGATTTTCATGTGAGGGTGAGCCGAGAAAGCCACCCAACCCTTACTCGCTCGTCCCGAAGAAACGGTGACATGGAAGAGGAAATTGAACAAATCGAGGTAGGGCTCGACCCTAATCTCTTGACACCTCAAGAGGAAGGCCAGGATCACGTAATGGGAGTTCGGGACCAACTGACTCGGACCAATCTCGTAGAAGTTGAGTAGGTCCACCGTGAAAGGATGGACAGGAAAACGGAACTCGTCCAGAAGAGATAAGAAATTAAGGCCAAAGTGATGACGACTCGGGGGTTCCGTAACATTATCACCGGGGAGGGCTCCACCACCTCAACACCCAGCCCAGCAGCTCTCACGGCCATGACCGCGTGAGAGGTCGACAAGGGTGGTGCGTGGAATGTCCTGCCCCAGGGAGGTATACTCTACCGGCTCGGGGACGGCGATTCGGAGGGGGTGGCCGGGCCCGGGGAGCCCGTGGAGGTCGGTAGCCTCGTTGCCAGGGGTAGGAAACTCATTAACGGAATCGGGGTCACTCATATCGACCTCACTATCGCTAGTGGAATCTAGCACGTTGAGATCAAAACTTAGGGACATGCAAGGAAGGTGGACCAAAAAGAGGGAGGTACGTGTACCCGAAATTAGTGAACATGCAAGGAAGGTGGACCAAAAAGAGGGAGGTACGTGTACCCAAAATTAGTGAACATACAAGGTGGGTGGACCAAAGAGGAGGAGGTGCGTGCACCCCAAGGGAGGTCGGCCGGACCCTGGGGGGGTGGGGGGCGGACCTTACACTGGTGGCCGCGGGAAGCCCGCGGCAGTAGCTCGGACCCAGTGGCGGTCCTCGGCGGCGCCGAGAACAAAAAAAAATGGTTGAACGAAACGGTTGAAAGGAAAGAGGAAGGAGGAGAAACTAACCGACCACGAAGCAAAAATTTGACTTCGGAACCCCGGGAGAACACTTGTGACAGAGAGCTTGAGTGAATTTTTTTGGTGATGGAGAGGGGGGTGGCCGAAAATGTGAAGGGAATGGGGGGTTTTTATAGATTGTTGGGAGGAGAGAGATGGGAGAATGGTTGAACAATTTTTGAAATTCAAAAAAGGGATTGTGAAGAGAGAGAATTGATGGGGATGGGAGATGAAAAGTTGTTTGGATTTATTATGGAAGATTTTCAAGACTTTTATAGGGAAGTGTGGCACCTTTGTAGGGATTCTAGCTTATCTGAAGAGATTTTTTGCGGAGCAAGAATTTTATCCGCGATATAATTCTTGGAGGAGGTCGGCTAAAATTTGGAGCTCGAAATTTTTCACACAGGAGGCTCGGGTCGGCGTACGGATACTCTCATTCGTTGACTTCCACTCGCAACGAAGAGAGTGGGGGACTCATGATGGATATATTATACCCACGACCGACCCGGGGTAGCATCACGGTCCCGGAGCACCTTGATGGAGCCCAAGAGCAACACGGACCCGGGACACCACGGAGGTGCCCAAGAACAACACGGACCCGGGGCACCACGGAGGTGCCCAAGAGCAACGCGGACCCGGAGCACCATGGAGGTGCCCCGACCCGAGCCGACCTACGTGGAGCTCGGCACCACCCGAGCTTGGGACCCGGCCCGACCCGGGCCCGGTCAAACTTGAGATCTAACCACCCCCGATTTAGGGGGAGGCGGTTGGGGGGTTTGGCTTGTATAAAAATCCCCCTCCCTGTTTTTAACAAGGGCGATTCAATATATATTCTACACTTATTACACACTTTGTCCTGTCGAATTTCTGTAATAGCCAATTCCAACGACAATTAATTCATTATACGGTCTCCAGCGACCTTTACGACATCGTTCTATATTTCGTTTATTATTTATTATAATACGTTCTTATCCAGATTTATTGATTCGGGTCCATCCCGAGTTAATTAAATCCATCAAGTACAAAATAACAATTGTTGTAAATTGCTTTCAAAAAAAATAAAAATTGTTGTTCATATAAAGATATGGAAAAAGCTTGTGTTGAAATATATTT